TTTGATGATGCCTTATTGGATTAGGCAATCTGCCCCAACTACTAGGTTTTTCAATAGTTTTCCAATGTTCTATAAAGACTTTCTCACTACCATTGTTAAGTATATTAAATGTAGCATTCAGCAAAGTCTGAGCCTTTCTACCTATAGAATGATATATGTCTTGTAAAGACTGTATATGTTGATCCTATTGGAGGATACTAAAAGGTCCAGAAAAAGTTATTAACCTATATTTAGTAGCTAGATGTTCCTTCTCTATTTGTGTTTGTTAATATTCAATTTCTAATAATCATTTTTTAGTTTGATAGTAAGAACAGGCATTTGCTATGTGATTATAGTTTAGATCCGTAAGGTGATCACTAGAAATATTGTATGACCTGCAATCATGAATAGCATTATGTTGTTTAATACCAGCAAGATCATTGCCTTGAGGCAGATCTGCACTAATGCACCCAAGACCACCAACAACCCATATGTTTCCATATAATGTTTGCATTGAAAATCCATTTTCTAAATGTTGAATATCCTCAAGTATTGGCCAGATAACATCATTAAGATTAGCACCAAATGGGACTAGTCCCATCAGAAAATAGTTTTTAAGTTGTTTTCTTAAAGATAAAGGCATATTTCCAAATTGTAAATATATTCTTTCTAATGAGTGATAAACATTTTTATAAGTCCCGAAATCATCAATGTATATATCAAGAAACACCTTATATATAGATATGAGTTGTGGTAGTGTTTTAAGCATAACTGATTTACAAAGTATTCTATATCTTGTTAAAATATCACAGTACTTCCAACGATCATCAAAATGGTATATAACTTCTTGAACATAGAAATCATAGTTATTGGGTTCTGGTAAATCCGAAAACCATACATTGATACATTGAGAAATGTTTTTGAGATCAACAAATACAGAATCTCTTTCAACAAGCCATAATTCTTTATTATTTCCTCAGGTATGTCAGGAACTAGTATATTGGCAATTAGAAAAATTCTGGTGGTGCAACAGTCAGTCAATTTTTAATATATGAGAACTATATATTTCATTGTCTACTATGTCATGTATGCAGCCTATAAATTTAGTAGATAGTTCTTTGTATAAAAAAAAATCACTTACATTATATATTTCTAATTATTACAAGTTATTTATCATTGCTTCTGAAATAGTAATATGATAATTGAATCCTATAAGTCCTCATTTTTGCTATTATCTTTACAAAAAATAATATAAAATTTACAGTTTCAATTATTATATTACTAATTCAGAATCAATAATAAACCCCTTAAAATTAGTATATGAAGATATTTATTATAAAACACACTTATGGTATTTTGTATATTTTATTAGTTATTATATTTTTTTCATGTTAGAACATTACATACCAATTAATTCAATTAATTAACTGATTTTGGGAGTGTAAAGTACCATAAATGTGTTTTATAAATATATAATATATTAAATATTATAGGCTTTCTAATACTAATCTCCACTATCACTTTTTATTTTATGCGATCCAAATAGTGGAGACTCCTGCCAAAGACTCTCATGCCAGAATTCACTTTTCTCATTTTTAATTATATCAGGACCGAAGTATAATTTAGGTGTAATTGCTAGATTGTTTAATATATACCCAAATGTTCTAACAGAAATATTGTAAATGCTTTCTTTGTAGATGTAAGTACAGATGGTGCCTTTTGAGAGCAAATAGGCACATCGTATTGACATACTGTAAGTAAAGGTAATCTACACCTTCACTTACACATATGTCTAATATTCTTGATAACATTATCTTTGCAAAATTTAGGATAGGTAATAATTTTAACTAGGCCTTCATATGCACTAGTTGCTAAACATAATATAATATACCTAGTGAGAATCATCCCCATTCAGAATCAGGTCAGTCCTGAATAAGAATTATGTAATTATAACTATTCAATATGAAATATATATATATATTTTATTATAAACCCTGATTATAGCCTTAACTCTAATCCTAAAGCCCTAATTCCATAAAAATAATTACAAAATTTCCATCCGTGTGGTAATTTTGAATTGAAATGACTTCAATTTAGGTACAATGATAAATATATACACAGACTTTCCAATACAGAGATTTCACGAAATATTACTTACATATTGTGAACTCTGTATTCCAAACATACAAGGCTGCAGACGTAAAATTTGGAAAGTATGGTCCATACTCTCCATCGAATCCATCGAATTCTGAAGATATTTCTTCTAATATTTCGTCACTCACTGGGTCTTCCTCAATGTCATCGATTAATGGTACATCGTACATATCACCTGTAAAGTACATGTTTGAATCGATGTATTCAAATTCCTTTAAAACAATGTAAAAAAAAACAAAATGCATAAAATTTTATAATTGAACATTTAAATGCTATAAACCGTGGATTGAAAGAAAAAAAAAACCTAACCTCATCTGCTCTAGTTTCTTTAATTTCGTCTTTAGCATTATCGATAATTTTATCAGTTTTATCAACTTCATTAATTTCTTCAATTTGGTCTATTTCTTCATCATCAATTTCAATCTTATCAGTTTCTTCAAAAAATTACACATCCGCAAAAGTTTTTATATTTATTTCTTGTGATTTTTTTGGCTTTTTGTGCAACTTTGGAACATAAAGACTGCAAGAGGGTTTGGAAGTTCTGTTTGTTCATTTCATAAAATAGACTAAGTTTTTTTATTGTATTTGTTAAAAATTTATTTCGAAAATAAAAAGTATATACAAATATAAGTAATATAATTTAATTAGCTAGAAAAATTTTACATATAATAATATTTTAAAAAGTAATGTGTAATATTATCGTAATAAGCTAATACAGCTAATAGGATATATATAAATTACTTTCTTGTAAGATATTTTTGTTACTAATTATCATGGCTCCTAAGAAAAAATTTACATGTAAATTAATATGTTTAAAGGTTCTCTTAGTTCTTTATTAAATATACTAAATAATTTTTGTACAGATACAAAAAAGACGCAAACACTGTCTAAAAAAGAAATATCTGTTAAAAAAGCAACTCTTATTAGAAAAAATCTTCTGTTAGAAAAGAAGCTTTAGTTAAAGAAGCAGCTCTAGTTAGAGAAGAAGCTCCCATTAGAACTCGGAGATGTTCTTCTATTAGTATGTTATTTTTTAACATATTCTTATAAATATCATTACAAGTGAGCATA